GCTCAACAGATCGAGCTGATCATTGTCAGCACTGATCTTTTGTCTGACAATCTTTTGTCAGACAAAAACATCAAAACTGTCAGACCTTTTGGCGTTTTGAGACTAACTGCCATTGTTACAACTAACAATTACGCGTAATTATTGTTCTTATATGATTCTTATTTTTTAGGTTAAAATTTTTTTTTCAGTCAGTCGCTTTTTACATTTTTTTTTTGTCATTTATTGGCTTGAATTCTTTTGTGATTTTAAAAGTTTTAATGAATTCTTTTATCAAAGTATCAAAAAGCTAATTATGCCATCAAATATATGTGAAAATGTAACTTTAGATATAACACGATAAATTTTCAGCGAAAATTTGAAAATTGGACTAGTGGCAATGGTGATATTAGTTTACTAATATTGTTCTTATGTCATGAACGTATTGAGAATAAGTAACACTTATGGATCATGTTGTGAAGTTCGGTTTTTAATCACCATCAAGATAAACTCAAGGCACTCTTACGAGGCGTTCGTAGGGTATGAGATTGAAGCAAAATTTTTATTAAAGGGCATGTAATTTGAATAGTGTCACTATTATCGTAATTATTTACGGTTTGTATCGTCGTTAATCATTGAAAAGTCATTAACATTGTTGCAAGAAGCATTTACACCGTCGTAAAATCTGGTGATAAATTTTTCACCAGTAAAACTGGTTTTATTGTTACTTTTTAAGCGATAAAAAATATATTTGCTAATTTATGAACAGAATTTTTTTTTAATAGGAATTTTATTTTGTAGCATCATTTTAAATACTGTATATGTAAGGAAGAGTAAATCACTTTCTTTATCACGTTTCAAAAATAAAATAAAATAAAATAAAATAAAATGGGATAAAAATAAAATAAAATATTAACAAAAAACTAATTAAGTTTTGGCACTTGATGCCGAGTAACTGTTTATCAGGCTTATATAATGGGCTGTACTAATATAAATCACAAATTAGTATTAGTAGAAGTAAGTGGAAGTAAGAACAACTTTTGAGAATATTTTTGTAGTTATTTTTCTTTCTAGACTCACGAAGCAAAAGTGCGGAAGTTTCAGTTGTAACCGCAAGTCCACAAACTTGTTCTCACTTTTTATGATAAATCTTTACCAATTTCATTAATTCTGATCGTAAATCTAGTGTTGGTCACCGTAATAGTTACCTTAGGTTTCGGATTACGACTCAAAATTACGAAAATGTCGTTTTAGTTCGTTACTTATGGCGACCAACCTTACTCTAATCATCTTTTGTTCTTAAGCCAACGGCAATATTTCCACTCTAATAGCAAATCAGCCACAAAGCCAGGAACATTTTCGGGTCTATTGACAGTAGCAATAAAAATAGTCAGAGTTAGGAAGTCTAAATAAGTATCTTGGTAATTCTTGTTAATAGTAATATCAGTTTGAATATCACAAACCTCTTTGCATTCTCGGCTACTTCACTACTCCGCTTTTAAAACTTTCCCAGGTTCGGCTCCTAGGGTTTCTATATCAGTCCCCGACTTGTGAGATACATGTTTTCTCTAAACTTGGTTCACCTAAAAACATAATCATTAGTTGAAGCAAGAGGAAAGTACCATATTTTTTAGCAAGGTGACTAAGATTATCCAACTCTTCCTGCTCTCTCCGAATTAAGTATTAAAGTAAATAATCGCTCGGTTGGATAATACCTCAAAAACAAGTTATTGCTTATAGTTAAAGTTACCACTTAAAACAGTTTTTCTGCTAGTGAATTGATAATTTTCAGACTTTAAAAATTTATTTGGTATCGTCTAGTTTATGACGGTCGCTCTTTTCGAGTATCCGAGAATTTTTGGCGGTAATTTTTTATTATTCTGATAACATTTCCGATGGTAATAAAATTTTCGGCTTTTGATAACATTTCTTATTCTATTTATGGAGGTTAATAGGCTAATACTAGGTGGGTTAGGGTTATTAAATTCTACCGTTCACGTAATTATTTTAAATTCTCTTTTATTCCCTCTAAACTTCTATTAATTTTATTAAGAGCGTTAATTAATTCTCGTAATTGAAATTCATCCAACTTACTGTTGACATATCAGATATAATTTATCTTATTTTACTAGGCTCTAATTTTAAATAAGGTTGGGAACTAGGTTTTAAACCTAACCTTCTCGCTTTTATATATGTTCTATCTATTTCCGTTATAAACACGTCAATATTCCTTAATAGTTCGTTTACTTGTCTTTTTCCGGAATTTGCTTGAACGAAATATTTCAAAATTTATTATTTGCTAATTTGCACTAAAATTTTACTAGGTACCATTTTTTTTTTACTTTTCACTGGCTATTTGTTGTTGACTAGAACTAACTGGCTAAGGTTAAATCCATGCTTACCACTTTGGATTTTTGATGAATAGTATTTATTATCTATATACAGTATATTATATTCATGTTTTAAAACAAGATTGCTAATCTCCCAATAATAATTTTTTGAATAATATTCCTATACCAAATGAAACTAATATTGATAATATTAAAACCGGCTTAGTGATTAGTCCAGATTGGGTCCTTACTCGCTCGCGTAAATGGCTATTTTCAGTATCTAATTGACGTAATTTTATTCTTAATTCTCTGTTATCCCTTAATAATCCATCCGCATCTCGTAGTTGTCTAAACCTTTCGTCTATTTTGTCTCGTCTTCCTAGTCTGTTCATAATAATACTGTTTATTATTAGGTGGTTTTCCTTGATTTCCTTTTACTCCACAAATATTTTCAACCATTAACGCTAAAAACTGTTATTAAGATCCCGCCAATAATTTACGTAGCGTAGTTCGGTTTCGGTAGCTCCTTTTTTATTTTTTATCCCTTTCTTTCTTGAATAATCTTTTGTAGGGAAGGAAACCAGCCGGAGACAACTTTTTGTTTTATAATAAATTTAAGAAAAATAATTATTTAATCGAAACAACGAAAAAAATTTGATAGGCGCAGTACATTAACAAAAATGAAAAAGATTACAATTTACAAGGCGCAGTATGAAATTCGGGGTCAAATTTAGTGTTCCCTGGTCCTTTTTATACATATCGATTCATCGATGCAGATCAGTGTACTATCACATGTTAATGCTAAGCCACTCAATTCAAAATTCGTTCAAAATTCGTTTTCCACAAGAATAAGAATAAAAATAATAAAAAATAATTTTTAAGCTTCCTTCAATGTTTACCTTTAAAATTATTATTTTTGTAACTAAGAAATTACGGAAGAAAAAAAAAAGGTAGAGCAAGATTTTTTTTTTAAAAAAAAAATAAAATAAAATAAAAAGAAAGAATTAGAAATAAAAAAGACAACTAAAAAATAGAATAAAAGTCAAAACCATTGACTATAACAATTCATATAATTTCATAATATGATTTACCTTAAGTTTTAATGAAATTGAAACGAGTTTTTTATTTTAATATAAGTTTTTTTTTTTGTCTTAGCGTTAATTGATCTACAAATTCACCTGATGTGAAGTCCCATCACCATGTATGTTGATCATTTTGATTTTTCACAAATATAAAAATTACGATGAACCAAATTCGCGCATGAAAAATCACCGCATTTAAATAACCGCAGTAATTTTGAAGTAATGAATGAAAGTTATGCAAGAAAAGTAGATTACAATTAGATAATTGTAATGGGCGGGATATGATGTTACACGAAATTGTTACGTATTTTATCACGCGACAATTTTTTATTTGTATCAGCAGATCAAGGAGAAATATAACAATGAGAACTATGTTTTTTAATTTTAAATTTGCTTATTGTCCTAATTGGTCGGTATTACAAAAAAGGACGTGTCCTTTTAACGTTCTCATTGAACGTATTGCAAAAAAGATTTAACCTTAATTTTATCATTGTTAGATTTAATATGCCTAATTTAATACTAGAGAACAATGATCAGATCTTGTGATACAGCAGTACTTTTCTTGTTATCTGCAGTATATATAGTAAATATCATATACAGTATAATATACAGTATATGCAGTCAAGTGATATAGTACAGAATCTTAATCACAATTTAAATAATCTTTTTCATAAAATTGACACTCTTCCTTATAAAAAGGAATGCCGGAATTTCGTCTGGAATTTGTCCTCACTGTTTGGAATATTTTACATTTCAGAACATTTTCTGGACGTCTTCTAAACATACTCGCTGCAATTTCCGGTTAAAGGGCCTTTTTTCAAAAGAATAATTACATCATAAGTATTTGTTATGTTGTGATAAAAAAAAATCAAAAAGTCAATTGAATCGTATTTGATGAATATTAAAGCAATGTACTAGATTTATTAATGAAAAAAGCATATTTGAATCATTTTAAATTAGAAATAAATATTGTAACATGTACTGTATGTTGTCGTCATGAAAAAGCACTTAAAAGATGAACGTCACCTTTTTCTTAAAATCCTTACCAGCCGTTATAGTTGTTTTTTTTTATTGAAAATCGAACAATGAACCTCTTGAAAAGTATTATCATCTTATAAATTAATTGTAAATTGATTTTTTTTTTTTTTTTAACATTTAAATAATTTCTTCAATATTTATTGGCGCCACTAACAAAAAAAAAAAAAATTAGGCGTTTAACTTTTGGCAAAAAGTTCAAATGATACCTGTTTATGATGCACGTCATCTAGTACGTTAAATCATTGCCGCAGTACATTTCGCATACTGAATGCGTGTATTAGAATTAGATAGAACCTCCTTCGAATATACAAATAATAGTCAAATAAACTTTTTAAAGAAAAAAATAAAATACGATTATGTTACATAACTGGAAACACGAAAATAAAATCAACCAATGAAAAGACATTTTTTTAAACTGACTCAGATCATCAAAAATTTATAGTGCGTTACGGAAAACGAACTATCGAACGAACTATCGAACGAACATTAAAACTATCGAGTGAACGATATACACTTTTTTTTAAATAATTTGAGTACTTTCTAAATTTATTAGAGAAAAAAAAAAAAATCTTGTAAATCTTGTTTTAATTTTAATCTAATCTTTTAAATATATTCTGTATATCAATTGTTTTTTTTTTTTATTAAATTAATTTTATTTTCTTCTCATTGAACGAACCCTACCCAATTTTTTTGAAGAAGATTGATCAGGTGATAATAATGATTGATCATCCTTTTCTTTTTCAGTTACACTAGATAAAGAAGTTGAACTTTCAGATTTTTCATCAGATTTTTCCGATAATGGAATTGTCATTGATTCTTTTAAAGGAGAAGATTTTAATGGAGATTTTTTAAGTTTAGAAGGAATACTACGTGATAAACCACGAGAACCAACATTACCAACTTTTCCACTTTTTTTACCCATACCACCTTTTTTACCCTTTCCTATACCATCTAAACATTTATCACCAAGACAAGGTTGACACATTAAAGCCCTTGTAATTAATTTAAACATGAAATAAACAAGTAATTCACCTTTATTAACTCTCCAAACATCAGCCAACCATTGAATAATATTTAAAAGTGAAGTCATAATAATAGCTACAACAGAAACAATATAAGTAGCTCTAGCGAATAAAGCAGCATTTTGAACAGCCAAAGTAACTTGAGTTGTATTTGAAGGAGAAATAACATCACCAAATTGATCTTCAGAATTTGGTTTAGGAGTATAACCACTACCAATTAAAGTTTCATCACCATGAATGAAAGGATCCAAAGCTTGTACTCTATTAGCAGCAGCAAAAATAGCAGCTACTATAATAACTACTTGACTTATAAAACCCAACCATTGAGAAATTTTAGCATCTAAACTTTTAATAGATTCAGTATAATCTTTTGCTTTTGGCATTAAAGCGTAAACTATTTGAAAAGGACCACCAAAATACATTGGACCACCCACTATATTAGGTACAGGTTTATTTAATATTTTAGCACCTACATTTATAAAACCACTAATTAAAAATATAGAAGTTTGTAAAGTAGTTGTCATACCACTTATTTTTGCTACAACTGTTAAATCACCAAAATCCCATTCTGGTATATCAAAACTTCCCAAGAATAAATCAAAAAAGAAACTTTGTACTGAAGTAGATTCTCCTAATAAAGTTAACCAATCCATAGCTAATGATGTATAATAAAGACCTATAGTAATTAATATATCAAGTTTATTAATTCTTTCAGTAATTAATTCAGTTTCTTTTGAAATTTCTTCGGGAGTATCAGGATCGATCTTTCGTACTTCTTTTTCTAAATCATCTTTAATTCCAACTGTTTCAAGTATACTTAATCCAGTCTTTATAGTTTCCGCTCCAGTCATTTCTTCTTTATTATCTTTTTCATTTATTTCTTCATCTTTTTTATCTTCTTCATCTTTTGGTACATCTATTACGATTCTTCCACCTCCTGGTATTGGTTTTGACATTATAATGATTTTTTGATCAGCGATAAGGAAAAAAAAAAAAACTACATAAAGATCATCATAAATAATTTAATCGAAAAACTCCTTTTTAAACGAACCCTTTTAAATTTTTGTATATTATTCATATAAATAATATAAATAAGCCTTGATTGTGATCGATTAATTCTTTTAATATATGATTATATTTCGTAATTAAAATATCTAAGCGCTTAAGCCATAAAATTAAGCTAAGCCACGATCGGAAACAAGGATAAAGAATTATTAGCGTGAAGACTAAAACAAGTTTAAGCCACAAATTACGGTACATTAAATCATTTTTTTTTTTTTATTTAAAAAATGAACGAATGAACATAATAAATATATAATGGATTAATTTGATTACCGTACCTTGATTTAAAAAAAAAAATTTCCATTAAGAGATATTTGTAATTTTTTTTTTTTTTTCCGTAGCGAAGCAATAATAAATGACATAATGAATAATGATAAGCATAGCCAAATTATTTAATCTACCTCCCGTTATGCCGTATATGCGTATATTTACAAAATTGTAAAGTGATTTGGTGATAATAAAATTACCTAAAAAATACTAACGGGTATCACAATTATCAAGCACGGTATATTTACCAGTAAATTGGTAAATCACATAACTCAAAATAAGGTTTGATTTCTTCGATCATATGATATAGTAATATAGTATGCATTCAGTAACCCGCCTAACAATGTAACCAATCAAAATGACTGCGGCAGAATTTGACAATGAAATGCACGAATTTTTTTTTTTTTAAAAAAAAAATTTGCCAAAAGTAAACAAAGCATGATGCATAAGTTTTCTTTGTTAATGTAGATGTCTTATGACTTACAGACACATGATAACTCGGACGAATTTTTTAACCCTAAAAGGAAGTTCAACAAAGAAACAAAGAGGGAATGTGAAAATCAACTTTTTGGCAAAAAAAAAATTTTTTCGAACATCTTTTTTTTCAATATATTTAAGAATGCTTCTTGACATCGAAAAGAAAAAAAAAATATTTTGGCCGTTAATAATTTCATTACTTTTTAATATTTATTAAGTTACCAAATTTGTTATTGCCTCCAATTCGTCGAGTTTATTTTCAAAGAAAACAGTCCTTTTTGAGTAAACGTATCAATATGCGTGTATTTAGCCGTAAAAAAAAAAAAATAATATGATAAATACATCTCTGAAATAAATTGTTAGACATTTTTATAATTTTTTTGACAACTGCAGGGAAAAAAAAAACAAAACAAACAAACGTCAGCCAATATTTATTTAAATGTATAATTATTATAGAAATGGAAATTTAAATGTCATTTTCATTAAACGAACATTAATAAATACCTTTATTTATGTCTATTGATTAAAATGTAAACGTTTTTTTTTTTTTGTTTCGTGATATCATCATCGCACTGCACCAGGCTGAAATGATACTCATTCATTAGTATAAAAACTTGTGTTTTTCCTAAATTTGCCTTAAACAAAAAAAAAAATTAAATAATAATCAAAAATTTGGAAAAATATAGAAATATTAGAAAAATTAAAACGATTAAAAAAAAAAAAAACTGGAAAAATACCTGCGAAAAAAATGCCGCTTTTTGATGATACTGTAGGTTGATATTACAAAGAATATACGCTATATACATTTTAATTATTTTATAAATAATTCCTTCTTTTTTTTTCTCTCTCTCTTTCAGAGTAAAAATATAATTTTGAATTTTAAGCAACAGCACGGATATGATTCAAATGACTATGTGGGAATAAGTAGATTGATTCCTCCATTCACACCAAAACAAATCCGTCATTTGTAAGTTAATTTAATTCTACTTTATTATTTTCCTTGAAATTATTTTTATATATATTTATTTTTAATTTGTAAATTTAGTTGGACAAATATACTGGATCCGAGATGTAAGCTAAATTTCTTTTTGACGACTTAATTTTCTTTTTAATTAATCGATAATATTAAATCATCATCTTCTATTATATATAGTAAATCACAGTTGTTTGGATAAAGAAGAAGAAGATTATACCGTTACATGGATTGAAAATCGAGTTCTAAATGGTCCAATTAATTGGGGGGAATTAATTAATGATATTCAACAACGGTTCGGTAAATTACGCCCCAAGAATAAAATCAAGAATTTTTGGTACTCAAGATTAAGACGCCGTCGAAGCGGCCAAGTAAGAAGTCAAAATATAATAAATAGTTTTAGAAGAGAATTTGATTCTATAAATAATACTCTTCAATCAACTATCACTTCTCGCTTCAACCCTAATCACCCTAATCTAATTCATTCCTCAAATTATTATTCCTCGAATTGTTCCTCGAATTATCCCTCAAATTATCCCTCAAATTATCCCTCAAATTCAAATTATCCCTCAAATTATCCTTCAAATTATTCCTCAAATTCAAATTATCCCTCAAATTATTCCTCGAATTATTCTTCAAATTATTATTCCTCAATTCCTAATATTTCTTGCACTAACTATTCAATACCTCAACCTAACTCCTTTCAATACCCCCCTCAATCAAATAGTATTCCTATTACCACTCCTAATATTCATCAGCTAATCCCCACTGCTTATTGGCATAATTCAACAGTTCCTCATACTCTTCAACCTAAACCTGACCCCCCACAATTTAACGAACCTCATAGGATGAACCCTTTTTAAAAAAAAAAAAAAAAAAAAAAAATTATTATTATCCGTTGAGTAATTTACCATCGTAGAACGTTGTGTATATAGTACTGAGGGGATATTATTATGTACAGTAATATTATAATAAATATATATAAAGCTGGACTTTATTTATACTTACCAACTTTTTTGACATTTTATAAATTTTTCTGAAATTGCCTATAAATGCGAGGTTATATTTATATAAATTTTTTTTTGTAAAGAATCCTTGATTCCTTGTGAAACATGGCTCTTTTATAAAGATTTGTTTGTCGAACAAAAAATTAATGTGTAGCATAACAAAAAACTTTGAACGCCGAAAATTTCTTTCTAAATATCATTTCTTCAATGAAAAAAAAAGGGCTGAAAGCATCGATGATAAAAAAACAAAATCATAAATATTTGTTTGTATCAGCCGCATTGTTTCATCAAATCATATAATATTGTAACAAATAATTTCTTCTAATAATGTTAATGATTTATATTATATATCTTTAACAGTATATTTATACTTAAATGAAATAATATTTTTCGGATTATTAGCTTCGAAATTTGATGAGAAGCTAACGAAATTAAAACGTTTTATTGATATTATTAAAAAAAAAAATAAAATAAATCGAAATCAAATCATTTTATTCTTTTGACAAAAAAAAATAATAAATAAAAGAAATAAATAAATAAATAAATAAATAAATCCATTATAGAAATATTGAAAGTTGATTGAAATTTACTTCACAAAAAAATAAATTTTTTACCTCATTTCTTTATAAAGAAATTTCGCATAAAAAAAAAAATTAACTACAGATCATATATATATAAAATCAAAGCCGGCATTATATCAATTAGGTATATATTATTATAATGGGTATGGTGTCAAAATCTTTCGAAGGATTTAAAAGTAAAGCTTTTTTAAGTTATCTAGTATACTATTATAACGATGTAAAAAAATGTTGCAATAATAAATGGTAAAATTAATATTCAATATAAAAATTAAAATTAACCAAGAGTTATTGCTAAATATCACTGCTGGTGATTGTCAACTTACCAGAATTAGTGTAGAATTTTGGGCAGAATTAAAAAATGTCATGAAAATCTGCCCGGTAACGCTGGTGCGGTAAGATTCACCTGCGGTGAGATTTAGCAATGCCCTGTTAAACATATAGATGGTACAAAAATTTAGATAATTAAAGCTGAAAAATGGGTTAACCCATTGAATACTGATGTTAAAGAATTTGAATTTGTTTACTGTAATCTATAAGAATTTTTTTAAAAATATATACAGTATATACAAATTTCGGCTGCAGTATTTTTATTTCATATGTACAGTATTAGTTAGAATCATGAATCGTTCATTATAGTAACGACACTAAAAATCCCCTTCAAAGTATCAATTCGCTCTTCCTGCCTATCTTTTTCTTCTTTTTCTTATTTTCTTAACCAGTAGTACTCAATCTTCAAAATCCTTGTTGATGTGCCCATATTTTGTAATATGGTTTCCAGATAAAAAAACGAAATTAAAGAATTTATTTTTGACCATATAATTGTTTTTGGATACTATATATGGATTTCAGTCTATTAAAATATTTAATTTTACAATGAGATATTCTAATAATAATTGGATTTAGTACATATCAAGAGATGGCGTAATCTTATATTTATAAAATATATATCCCAATTCAGTGCTTAATATGTCGATCATTTTTAGATTTTCGACTGCGTATGAAATTTTCATACGCAGCCACGCATAGTAAACTGCTAATACTGGCCAAATATTGTTAATTTCTATAATTTGAACAAAAAAGTAGTGTTTTGTAAATATATAAACAAATATTATTCACCCGATATTTTTTCGCCAAATTTGTTATTAACAACTATAATTTCTTTGCTAAGAAATGTGGCTGGTGAATAATGCAGCTTTGAAGGTCTAAAATCATTAAATAAGGAAAACAAATAACAACTAATAAAGCTCGATGCGTTAGTATTGTTAAAGATATTCCATAATATATTTTGATTCATTTTAAAATAATTTTACAGCTATTTGCGAAAATAACGACTAAATTGATTTTTAAGAAAATATAATTTCGCCAAGAATTTCGGGATTTGAAATATTTTTTATATAAAAGAAAAAAAAGTAATTATACAATTTAAATATATTTTAGATCAATAATTTCGGATATAATTTCGGTTAATAAGTAAATTAAGTTGTTTATTTCGGAAAAAACACGGCTTTACTATAAAAATCTCAATTTTCGACTGCGTATGAAATTTTCATACGCAGTCATATTATGCATGGTAAATATCTGATATGGCATATTGGTGATGTCCGTAATTAGTATACCAAATTTGACAAGCAAAATCAAAAAATTTTATAAATGAAATTAAATAGTCGATCACACTTTATTTCGACTTATTCGTTCATATTATAAAAAGACCCTGAAATTTTTTACACAAAAAAAAACTTCACTACATTTTTATTAAAATTTCCAATTTATACTTTATATCCACAAATCTCATAATTTAACTATGGATCATCATAAACTCTCATTTTCTGAATCCAATAATTTACAATCAACAGCTGCTGTTATTCAACCTGAACAAGGATATCTTCCAAATATCGTTGCTTCTAATTCTGACTTTTCCATGAACGATAAATAACACATTTCCAACATTTCAAACAAACAATAATTACTCCGCTCATCAACCCACATTTAATGAAAACATCACAATTTCGCGATCCTATCCTCCAATTGATTTACAACAATCAACTGCTCAACCGGAACGTGAACGGCATTCTTCAAATATGAATTACAATGTTGTCAATGTTGACTTTTCCATGATGAACGATAATAGTATCTCCCCAACATCTCACACAAATAATAATCACTTCAATCAACAACACACGTCTAATGTGCAATCCTATTCTCCTCCGGTCACCCCTTCGTATGCGCAACAATATGGTCACCCGTTATCGTCGCAACCCATTGAAAATACTTCCTCTTCATTTAATACGACAACTATTAACCCATCTCAACCTGAAATCTTTAGTTTTGATATTCCCGGGTTTAAAATAATCATTGTGCCTACCTTCCCTCAACGAAGATAATACTTATTCTAATTATTCTTCTTCGGATATCACGGATAATCAATTTACTCAATTCGCTCAATTTCGACAATAAAAATTATAATTGAGTAACGTATGTAACTTAGGCGTGAACCTAAATTTTTTTTATTACTTTATTTTTATTTTATATAATAGCCCTGTTCATTTCCGGTCGGTTGCATTTTTCGGTCGGATTTTGTTGTACAAAAATTATCCAATAAAATTTTTTGATTTTCGATCGCAAATTGAACTGCTTTAGATTGAAATTTAGTTCGAACTCCTTATATTTGATATATATTTTTTTCTTAAATGTCACGTAAACAGAAATTATTTAATTTTGGTTGGTTATTTTTTGGCGTTCGACCAAAAAACCCCAAAAAAAATTGGGCCAAAAGTTCAGAAAATGGTTGCATTGTACAAACTGATCAGCCCAATCAAAATTAAATCTGACCAAAAAATGCGACCGACCGGAAATGAACAGGGCTAATGTATCTCTTTATATTGATGTACCATATGTTCATATTTTAAATATTATTTAAATAAAATTATTTATCCTACAAAAGAGAAATAACTTCAGTTCCTGTACCCGAGTATTAAACAAAAATCTCATTATTATAATTAATTAATTAAGACAGATATTATTTTGATTCTATATGAACTTCTTTTTATTGTCCGGAGCGACTATATTCAACATTATCACGTGTAATCAATTACCATTGCGCCCTTTTTCGGATTCATCAAAATGAATAATAGAATGATAAATTATTTTCCTCAACATCTTGCTCATGCAAGATACTTGGAAAATATTTCACTTGTCAATATTTCTTTTGTTCCTTTCGCGAATTTTGTTTTTTCATTTGATGCATTTAGCGTAAGTTTAAATTAATTATCACTAATAATTCTTATCTGACCAATTATAATGAGCGGAATTTATAGTTATTGGTGGAAAAATAGAGATATCGGTCGAACACAGATCTCCCATCCAATAACTCATAATCATAAGGCTCAATAAAAATCTTTGCATAAATTCTTCAATTCCAATTTTTAAAATTGGTTAAAGAACCAGAGACAATTTTACACATTACACACGCACGTGCACTATAAATTATGCCCCATTTTAATATTGTCAGTTGTCATTTAATACAATTTCTCACATGATCTACAAAAATAGAAAGAGAACAATAAACACTTTCTTAAAAAAAAAAAATTATTATTTTTTCCCCTTTATGTGATAACCATCATATATTTGCAAAAAAAAAATCCCCCATTCTTCATTTTCCAGTGACCAAAATACCAAAATAAAAATAAAAATAATGTAATTAATAAGATAATTTAAAAAAGTTCGATTCAGTGATTTATTTAATAATTTATACGATTTAAAAATATAAAATATTTTTTTTTTTTCCGTTTTTTATTTTTATATTTTTTTTTTTTTTTTTTTGTAAAGCAATAATCAATAGTTATTTTCCTAGGGATTATGCTTGGATAATTGCATTATTTTATACTCTTCTTTTTTCTTTTTTTTTATTAATGAAAGAATTGTCTATTTGGACTCGGTTAAATGACAAAATCGTTTACTGTTAATATTTTTTATTATCTGAACATATCAGTTTTTAATAAAATTCATTCTTTTTATTTCTATTTACAATGTCTATCATTTTTAGACATACCGGTAATATAAAAAAAAAATTTTTTTTATATTGATGATTTCATAATAAAGAAAAGCTTTATCACTTTGAAATAATTTAAAAATGATTCCTAATAAAGCTATCGAAATCTTTTTTCTATTAATTCCCATAATGAATTTTAAATAACATTTATTTAACTTATTGATAAATAGATTCCCATGGAACAAGTTTTGTGTATATCCAAAAAAAGATAAAAAATGATGAAGTCATATTATTCACTATGCTGATAATTGATAAGATTTGATGATAAGATTGTGAATTGTGATACGGTAGATGGGTAGATTACGTACGAAACAAGATTTTATCCAAATCGTTTTTATTATAAAAAGACATTGATATTAAAAAATTCGCCTAATTTTCAATTATACACCTACAAATATGGATAACAATAATTCTTCACATAATAATCATAAACTCACATTTATTGAATCTAATAATTTACAGTCAACAGATGTTGTTATTCAACCTGAACTATAGTTGGGTGCCGAAACTCTTCATATGCCGAAACTTATTGACTATATACTGAAAATAGTTCAGCTTTTAGTTTATATAGTTGCCAAATCTGAAAACCTAAACCCATTGCTAATATCCTAAGCCATTTCCAAAATCCTAATTTTACTGAAAATTTAACCTAAATCTAGATTTAGTAATGGTCTAATAGTTTAGGATTTCGGCAATAGTTTCGGCAATTGCATATGTCGAAATGTTTCGGCACCCAACTATAGCCTGAACAGGAATAACCTCCAAATATCGTTGCGACCACTTCTGACTTTTCTATGAACGATGATAATATTTTTCCAACAGCTCAAACAAGTAATACAAATAATAATTACTCCGATCACCAACCCACTTCTAATGGAAACACCGTTTCAACTTCAATTTCGCAATACTACACTTCGCCGTATGTTCCGCAGATCACCTGCAACCTATTGAAAATACCTCCTCTTCATTTGATTCATTTAACATGACTACTATTAACCCTTCGCAATCTGAAATCTTTAGTTTTGATATTCCCGGATTTAAAATAATCATTGTGCCTACCTTTCCTCAACAAGATAATACTTATTCGGATTATTCTTCTTTGGTACTACGGATAATCAATTTACTCAATTTCGACAATAAAATTATAATTACCTAACGTATATAACTTAGCCGTGAAATCTATTTAAATTCTTATCATTGCTCAATTTTATTTTTATATTTTTATAAATTTTAATTATATTTTTATATAATATATTGATGTCCGTACGTTCATGTCTTAAATATTATTTAAATAAAATATTGTTCATCCTTCAGCCTTGCCATTCGAGTATCAAACAAAACTTCATTGTTCTAATTAGTATTAACGGTTTAATGGAAGTTATGGCTTTGTGGAAGATATCAAAGAATTTATTGAAACAGAGAATTTACACGCATCCCTATAAAAAATTTTTATCCGAATATTTCCATTATTTCTCCGTGTCTTCCGTAAAAATTCCGTGAAAATGATACATTCACGGATATCCGTGTTAGCGAGATGAAAATTTCCATAATTTAAGGCTATAAATTCCATTAAAATGATACATTCACGGAAAAAATATGGAAAGATAAAACACGGATCAGATTTTTTACAGGGCATGTGTACTCTATAAATTACAAGTTAAATTACTTATAATTAATAAAATAATTTAAAAAAGTTCAAATCAGAACTTTAACTCAATAATTTTTGTATTTTTTTTTTATCTTTTTTTTTTTCATAATAATAATTTTTTGGCCTAGAGTTTATGTTTTATGGATAAGGTAATTACAACGAATTCAAGAATTAGATTTTCATAACCAAATAAATGATTGAAAAAAATAGCTGGATTTAAAATTCGAATTTAAGCTATAGTTCCAAGTTTTCTCAACTCCAAATTCCGAATTGGGTTTCCAATGATTTCACATTAAATTATTATTGTATTATTTTATACTTTTATTTTATTCTTTAAAAAGGATTGTCATTTGAGTGTTAAAAACAATAATAAAACATAAAATAATATTTGCTGTTAAACTATCAATTTTTTACAATAAAAAAAAAAATTTTTTTATTATTACCTAAGCCTAAGAACGTATTAGTTTTCTGAGTGTCCAAAAAAAATTTTTTTTATACAAATTTAATTTTTTTTTTCCATAGTAAATACCATATAAATAAATATATATGTATAAATTCTAGCAAAGAAAAAATATTTTTTTTATATACAGTAGTATAAAATTTTAATAAACGCCTATTCTAAAAAAAGTTTTTTAATGATGACGAAATAAGAAGACTACTGGAAATTTATAATTGTAAAATAAAGTACAATGAACCATAATAGCAAACAAATCTAAACAAACCGAAACTGCACGTGGCTTATTGTACAAATTTGATTGGGTAAAAAAAATTTTTTTAATTCTAATGACACAGAGCTTTTCTTTATCAGGAGATTACTCACAAATATTTTGGCGTAAATTTATGTATTCCATAAAAGGTTAAACAGCTTTTAGAGTAATACAAGTAATGATGGATTACGGAACGATTCATTTCTCATATATTACGATTTTTTTATAAAAAGGACCTCTGAAATCTCTCTACAAAAAAAAAAGTTTTAATTTGTTAAACATTTCCTCAAATTTAACCATGAATAATAATCCTTCACAAAATGATCATAACGATCAAATTTTTACTGAATCCAATAATTTACAACCAACCGCTGATATTATTCAACCGGAACAAGGATATTTTCCAAATATCGTTGCTTCCAATTCTGGCTTTTCCATGAACGATGATAATATTTGTCCGACATCTCAAACAAATAATAATTATTCTGTTCATCAACACGCATTTAATGAAAACATTACAATTTCGCGATCCTACCCTCCAATTGATTTACAACAATCAACTGCTAATGCTATTCAACCGGATGTTATCAATGTTGACTTTTCCCTGATGAACGATAATAGTATCTCCCCAACGCCTCACACAAATAACAAACACTTCAATCAACAACATACGTCTAATGTGCAATCTTATCCTCCTCCGATCACCTCTTCGTATGCGCAGCAATATGGTCACCCGTCATCGTCGCAACCTATTGAAAATACTTCTACATTTAATACGACAACTATTAACCCTTCTCAACCTGAAATCTTTAGTTTTGATATTCCTGGGTTTAAAATAATCATTGTGCCTACCTTTCCTCAACAAGATAATACTTATTCGAACTATTCTTCTTTGGGTATTACGGATAATCAATTTACTCAATTTCGACAATAAAATTATAATTGCGTAACGTATATAACTTAAACGTGAAATCTATTTCTTAAATTCTCATAATTGCTTAACTTTATTTTATATTTTATAAATTTATTTATATATTTATATAATATATCTTTTTTATATTGATGTACCGTACGTTCATGTTTTAAATATTATTTAAATAAAGTATTATTTATCCTACAAACGAGATTAATCATTTAATAATAACTTCAGCCCCTTACCATTCGAGTATTACTAAACAAAAACTTCATTGTTCTAATTAGTGTTAACGGTTTAACGGAAGTTGTGGAAGATATTGAGGAATTAATTGAAACAGATATCATTAATTAATTCTTCTTTATATATATGAATGATAAATTATCTTCCACAACATTATAATATTTTTATGAGACAATAATTGAGGACTATACAAGTTCAAAATGCTCCTGCCCAATCTGCTCATGCAAGATATAGAAATATCGGCTATCCATCCAATAAGTGAATTGTCAATAGGAATTAATGCTACTAATACTGGTTTCAATATTGGATTTCTCATAACAATATCGGTCATCGACTGAACAATAACGTAAGATATAAGTAAGGCTCAATAAAGATCCTCCGTATAAATTCTTCAATTCTAATAATTCAATTTTTTTAGAAAGCGAAAGAGAATTTTACACATTACACATGAGTATGTACTCTATAAATTAATAAAATAATTAAAAAAGTTCAATCAGAGCTATATCTCAATAATTTTTGTGTTTCAAAATATATCATATACATATATTATTTTTCGTTTTTTTATTTATTTATTTATTTATTTCATAACAATAATTTTTTGACCTAGAGTATATATTTTATGGATGGGGTATGAGAATTATAACCAAATAAATGATTGAAAAAAAATAGCCGAATTTAAAATCTGGAGTACTAGCATAAGTTGGCAAATTCCAAATTTCGCATTATTTTTTTTTTCCACGTTAAATTACAAGCGCATCATTTTATACCTTTTTTATAATTTATTCCATTCGGACAAATTAATCTGGGGCCAAATAGACAATCCTTTCATTAATGAAAAAGATAAAAAAAGAATAAATAATAAAACTAAATTCGTGACCCGACTGACCCGTGCAAAAAATTCATATATGATTTCGGTGCAAATTTACGTAATTTTTTTAATATTTTAATATTAATTAGTTTGATAATCTAACCATTTTGCCAAAGACGAATTTTTTAGTTTTTTCATATACAAAGTCAAAAACGGCATTCAAAACCCCCTTCCAGCCTTTAAGTAAACTTGCAGAGCAACTAAAAATACGCTTACTGAAAAACTTTGATGCTTTTTTTTGTTAAAAGTAATAAACTTATTTTTACAATTTTTGAAAATTGCTGTGCCACCAATCGAAAAAAAGTATATTTGCATAAAAAACACGTCTCAGATTCTTTGACTACAATGTATTTATTTTTATAATTCTGATGCTTTTCAATATAATAAAGAGATGTTACTAATTTTAGAGGACGTCTAAACAGGTGCAAATCACGTGACTTCAAAAAAATTTTTCTAAATAAAACTCTTCGCCATATATACACAACCTTTTAAACATAAATACTATGTGTATTTTGGCCTGCTCTGCAAGTTTACATAGAGCCCAAAATGAGATTTTGAATGCCATTTTCGATTTATTTGACTTTTCGTTTTTTGTCTATCCATTTTTGGATATAATCGGCAAAAATCTTTTGCTCAAATGTAAAAGTCAAAAATAGTATTCAAAATCTACTTTTTTTCCTTAAGTAAACTTGTAGAGCAGGCTAAGATATACTTATTTTATGATTTTCAAGTTTATATTAACCTTAATTTATAAAAAAAAAATAGTCTAGTATATCGAATTACGTGATTTGCCGCTTTAGACCAAGGACTGCCGTGATTATTAAGGATGAATTCTGCGTGTGATAAAAGTCAATTCTGTGAAATTCTGTGATTTGGCCAGAATTATGCAAAGTCTGCCAACATTACGATTCGCAAATTCTGGCCAAACTTAGTGTTAGCCAGAATTACGATCCTAAATCAGGCCACATTTTTATAAGTGAAACACAGAAAATCATGCTTTAGACGATCCCTAATTTAGTATTTATTCATTAAATGATCAAATGACGTGACCACGTTTTTCGGATTTTCGGATTTTCGAATTTTCGCTAAATGCCGATAGATTTACACGCCAATGACAAATATATGGTTAAATTATTTTGTGTGAAAATTTTTTTTTTTTTAGTAAGGATTAAGGAACAACTCTAATTCAGTGTTCAACAAAGAAAATTAGAATGTAACTTGTAGATCATTGTTTTTTTATTATAAAAGAAACTCGAAATTTATCAGTTTCTGTCACAAAATTACTTTAATTTGCAGTTATACACATACAAATATTTAACTATGGATGACAGCAATCCTTCACATAATAATTATACTGAATCCAATAATTTACAATCAACAGCTGCAATTATTCAACCAAATATCGTTGCTTCTAATTCTGACTTTTCCAATAACATGTTTCCAACAACATCTCAAACAAATAATAATTACTCCGTTCATCAATCTACATTTAACGAAAACATCCCAATTTCGCGATCCTATCCTCCAATTGATTTACAACAATCAACTGCTGATGTTATTCAACCGGAGCATGACAATGTTATCAATGTTGACTTTTCCATGATGAACGATAATAGTATCTCCCCAACATCTCACAAAAATAACAATCATTTCAATCAACAACACACGTCTAATGTGCAATCCTATTCTCCTTCGATCACCTCTTCGTATGCGCAGCAATATGGTCACCCGTCATCGTCGCAACCTATTGGAAATACTTTCCCTCCATTTAATATGACAACTATTAACACTCAACCTGAAATCTTTAGTTTTGATATTCCCGGATTTAAAATAATCATTGTGCCTAGCTTCTCTCAACGAGATAATACTTTTTCGAATTATTCTTCCTCGGATATCACGGATAATCAATTTACTCAATTTACCCAATAAATTTATACATAGTATGTTAACTTAGGTGTGAATCTAAATTTTTTTTTTATTGTTTTATTTTTATATTTTATATTTTTATCTCTTTATATTGATGTACCACATGTTCATGTTTTAAATATTATTTAAATAAAATATTATTTATCCCACAAACTTCAGTTCCCTGTACCCGAATATTAAACAAAAATCTCATTATTATAATTAATTAATTAGTATTATTAAATTAATATTTTAATTCCATATGAACTTCTTTTATTGTCCGAAGTGGAGCGGAAGACACTATATTTCTAAATCGTAACATTATCAAGGGTATACATATAAACTGTACTGTACGATCAGCTAAACTAATAATCATTGTACGATTTTTTTTTTTCGTACAGTACAGTTCTTTTCACGTGATTTTGTCACGCGTATATCTATTTATCTTTTTTTCATCCACTTTTCGACTTTTCGTGTACTATTTTTGTTTTTCTTTTGTTCTCTTATTTTTTGAAATCATCTTTTTTTTAAGACTTGGAATGATTTTCTTAGAAAAGTCTAGCACACAGTTCAAGGTAATTTTTATTGTTTTTTTATTATTTTACTGTTTTATTTATTTATTTATTTATTTATTGTTTTTTACTTTTGCTAACTGTTTTTTAGACAATTTCAACATAGTTGCTTCTTGCTGAAATATTTTAGCTACTAAGGAACTGAAGTATGTTATTTTTCTTATTATTTTATTGTTTTCTGTTACTTCTTTTGATTTTGAAACTTATTAATCATTTCTTCTTTTTCATGGGCGGTGGTTAATTTTTTTTATTTCTAATATTTTTTTTTTGTTACTGTCACTTCCTTATATTTCTTTTTTTGTTTCTGACACCTTTTTTTATTTTTTTTCGCTCTTGATGCTTTCTTTCTTTTGTTTTCTGTCCTTGACGCTTCCTTTAATTTTTTTTCATTCCTGATACTTCTCTTTTATTATTTTCCATATCTGATACTTCTAGTAC